GGCTGGCTGGCTTGCACCCCATTCCCTTGTTGTCCCTGCCAGCTGGCTGTGTTCAAATGGTCAATCCTGTTGCGAATTGGATAAATTTCTAATTTGTGATTGCACAGATGGTTATTGTATGTTCTGAGACTTGATAGGCTGCATGTTGATCCAGTTTAATGAATGATTTTCAACTTGTGGGGTGCATTGTCATTTTGTGATGTTCGTCAAGCATAGTATGTCGTGACTGTAATTTGTTTCAATATTGTAACGCCATACGTGATAAATGCTTAGCTGTTAAACTGTTGCTATTTTGAATAAGTAATCAAGAGTTATATCACAAGTTCCGCCATCTTTTCTTATGGAAACCATCTTTGTTTGATCCAGGTATCCCTAACATTTTGAGTGTTCAAGCAGTCAACAGTGTTGGGTCCAGGAGAACTGTGCACAGCACAGGTTTGACTGTGGATAACACTCCACCTAGTGGTGGTCAGGTTGGTGTTTCCTAAACTCTTCTTGCCATTGAACAAAAACATACATATCCCTTCTCAAACATCCCGACTAATGGCCCTGTTTATTAGCCCTAGTGTTTGTGGGGAAGTCAAGGTGGTGTAGTTGTACTTTCCTTGCCTGTCATTTCTGTGAGCCAAGTTCAACTCTTATCTAGGTTGGCACTCAGATGAGATCCTGACTGATTCCGTGGAATATTTTTTCGGGGTTCTCCTCTCACCCCTAAAATTGAATATTTCTTTGCTGTTTTTTAATTGTTTCTCATAATCATCCTATGATGGAACTTGCACCGTTGGATGCAAAGCTGTTTTGTTTACTGGAGAATCTGACTTATTTGCATTTGCACACAGTTTTCCTGTTTTCATTCCACTTCACATGCAGTAAAATATAAACAACTATACTCCAGTAAATACTTTGATTTTGACCTCCGATTTCAATACACTGTGGGCATCTTCTGATTCTCTTATTGCCTACTTACCCTTACCAGGTCCAGTGTCCTGCCTTCATCCATGCTGACAGCATTCTCTTGTGTAGCTGGACTGGCTTCCTTGATGCTGAGTCTGGTATCGATCACTACAGTTTTCTCATTGGGACAGCCCAGGGCCTGAGTGATGCATATCAGTCTGGTACCTTGCCTAGATACCTCACTCGCTACAGTGTCAAAGGTCAGTAGGCACATTATACATTTAAATGTGGGCTGGTAAAGGTTGATTTAAAGGGGGAGCAACAACTATGCAGGAAGAGTATTTTTCACAAAGAAGTGCAAATGATCGTATAAATATTATGATCTCGTACTTGACAGATATGAATTTGGTTCACAACCAAGTCTACTATGCCACTGTGGAGGCTTTCAATGCTATCAACCAAAGCACTATGGCATTCTCTACCCCAATCAAGATTGATGATACTCCTCCATTATATGGCCTGGTGGTGGAGCTGCCTGGAATACACACCTTCAATTTCAGTGATCCGATGAGTCTGCCAGAATTGGACTGTACTAACCAAGAGGAATGCTTACTCCTGGACGGCGAGTGTCTGGAATCACTCACTCAGCTGCAGATCCTGTGGCAGCCATTCACTGACAAAGACACCCAGATCACCAAGTATGAGGTTGCCCTGGGCACCACACCTGGGGGTTCTCAGGTCAAACCCTTCTATGAAGTGTCCAAGGATCAGACATCAGAGCTCATCACTAACATTGATCTGAGTGATATCCGTAAAGTCTATGCCACAGTTAGAGGCTACAATGAAGCCGGTCTGACCAGCACTGCTGTGTCCAATGGCATCTTTGTCAGCCAGTTCAGTGCCGGCCATCAACCACTCCGACCCTTCCAGGTCAAAGATGGAGTCAGCGACAATGAACTTGGTGACATGGACTTCCAGACATCACTGCATGAGATGAGTGCAGCGTGGGACTTCAGCGGGGACCCCTGTCCTATCACGAAGTATGAGTGGGCCATTTATAGAATTGATAACCAGGAGATTCAGCCATTCACCAGTGTTCAAGGTAATGACACAGACTTTGAGGGCTTATTAATGTCTAAAACCATCTGTGTACTTCCAGCTAAATATCAGCATTTTTGCTCCAATTTGGAGGTAGAACATGAAATATCTGCAGAGTTATTTCTTTGCGAAGCCAAACCCTCTTGACAAAATATGTTAGTAAATTTACACCATTTGTTTTTTAAAATGTTTTTCCCTATGTGCATTAATGATTTCCTTAACACCTGAATCTAAGAAGTGCATCTGGTTTCATTAATGAAACAGAGCAAACTTCAGACACCAACACAGATGTTGAAATGACAGATGGTGAGACCTACTACAGCATTGTGCGGGCTACCAACGCCCTTGGCCTGGCCATCACTGTCCGATCTGATGGAATCACTGTGAAGCGAGAACCCTTGATACCTGGGCAGGTGTATGATGGCCTCCTGGTGGGCTTTGATCTGACTTACCAGAAGGAGACGGATACCATTTCAGCAAGCTGGAAGGGGTTTGGACAGGGAATGCCAGCAAAAGAAAACGTTCAACACACAGGTAAGTGTGAGCACTTGTTTTGAATGAAACTGGAAAGCCCCCTATCTTTGATTTTGAATTCTGAGTGATAATGGCGTCAATAAGCCCACCTACTATAGACCAGTATTGGATAGGAGGGACATTGGCATCTCAAAGGGGTTCACTTGCCCTCTCCCCCTCAAAAAAAATTTAAAAATTAAGGAAAAAGGGGGGGAGAAAGAAATGGAAACTGAAATGGAGATTAAGGGGATGAAAATTACCAATTTGTTTGCTAAAAGTTAAATAATAATAATCTTAATTTTAAATTTAATATAGCGTTTTCCATAAAATATCTCAAAACACTTTACAAGAAAAACACATTAATTATAAAATGCTTTAAAAATGGGATTAATTAAAAAAAATTTTAAAAAGAAAGGTTTTCAACTGTACAAAATCAACACTTCAATTTTAAAATTCCAAATCTAACCCCCCTTAATTGTTTCAGCTGTCCCGCACCCCCTCCCCCACGGAAAAATTTAGTTTGTCCCTCTGGAAAAAACTTCTGGTGATGCCCATATGGATTATAGTTATCTTTATTGATACCTGTTAAGAACAGGATTCAGGTCAATACCTTAGTAATTTGCACTTTGTGCTACATTATATTTGAGTTAGACTGTTGTTGACTTACGTGTATGTCCACTACCCTGATTTCCTATCTAGGAAATGCTGAAGTCACCAGAGACCTCTTCTTAGAGCAAAGTGTTGATTACTATGAGGCAGCGGTCGGTACTGACCCTCACTACCCTAAGACCAGAGACAATGTAGTGCCCTTCACCCACATTGGCTTAAACACCACAGTCACCTTCACTAACCTGGACCTGACAGTACAAGACTCAACTTACTACGTGACAGTTAGGGCATACAGTGTGAACTTTGCCACAGCTGAGGTGACATCCACAGGGATCAGTGTTGGGATAGGCAGCACAGTCCATGGTAGGCCTCTTCTAAATTCTGCGATGGAAAACATAAAGGAGGAGGAAATGGAAATGCTGATTTGAGCAATGAAAAACATGCAAGGCCGACACTTTGATATGAGCAGAATCATTCCAAAAAAGGGCTCGGTCAAAACAGGTTGCTCTCATGAAAATGCAGGGCACTTTTTAGCTAAGTTCTAAATATTTCCTGTCTGTTATTTCTGTTCTATTTTTCCAAACAAGGATGTAGTCTCTTCAACTTGACTCAAAAAGTCTCGAATAACTTTGAGATCTTTTAGAAGGCTGTCTGATTTCTCTTGTTGAAGTGCCAGGAATCTCATAAAACATTTGTAATGTATTTCTTTCTGGTTTGAATAAAATGCTCACAGTTTGATTACAATATAAAGATTGGTGTTATCTTTTTTAAAATAGAGCCCAATAACCTAATTTTTCATGTTTTTCTTTTCATAAATACTGCTTTTTGTTTTTGATGTGAATTGTTTTGAAATTTCACCAACTGCAGTGTGCAGTGACATGAAGTGACGCTTCGTGTCGGCAAAAAATTGTAATATGCTCAGTGTAATCCAGTATTGAGGCAATTATGATATGAGCTAAATATGTCACTTGATTGCATTTCCCATCTGACCAGGAACTGAGGTAGAAGTGCCCAAGTATGTGAACTCGGTCTCAGAGGTCCAAATCATGTGGGGAGAATATGAATCCACACTCCCCATCCTGTTCTACTACACCGGCCTGGGTGAACCCTCCCCGTCCTCCATCCCACCTGAAGACATGGACTGTCTGGATATGGTGTTGGGGACCAAGGAGGCCCAGGCAACCTTCAGCAAAAGGCAAATGCGCTTTGTTGGCAAAGACACCTATGTAGATATCAGAGGCCTGAATCTGACCCAGGAAGGCTCCTACTATGTGACTGTTGTAGGTGAGTAAAATATTTCTATTTATAGCACACTTTTTGCTTGTTCTTTATCCTGGTTGGCTGAAACAGGTTGGGTTCACAAATACAGGCCAGTCAGGTGATTTGTTTCAATGTAGATTGTTTGGACTTTTTACAGTGCCCTCATATGATGTAAACAGTGAACAGCAATTCAGAAACTGAATCCGCGGCAGCCAAAAGCTTTCCTTAAATTGACAAGATACTTATTATTGATTATGAATAAATTTTGAATTAATGCAGTTAAATTATAAAACTTAAAAATGTCGTTTTTGGATTTTACATTTTGGGTAGAGGTGCTCTGTGAAACAGGTCTTTTTATAGTGACCAGATGGGGTTTTATTTCCTTGTTCAACTTTTGTCCTTTAGGAGTGAATGAAGGGGGACAGTGTAACTCCTCGACCAGTTATTTCTCTGTTGATGTCACGCCTCCTGTCGAAGGTCAAATGCGTGTTGGACCTTTCTATGACATGGTATGTGCTCTTAGGAAAGCAGTATATTTGGCATATACAGCTGCCGGGCCACTTACAATGTGCCGGTACCTGTAGGCTCCCTAAGTTGCCTTCCATGCTTGAGAACTAATCCAGCAAGCAATTAAAAGCCACTGCTGCATCGGCACCACACTCACATGTAAGCACAGGCATTAATGCATGTTGAAATGCCTTGTGAAATCTTTAAGTTTACAAACGTGTGATGTGGCATTTAGTGTAATGGCATTTTATTGCATCATTCAAGTTAAGTCTGTATTACACTTATTAGAGCACATGTTTATGTTACCGATCTTCGGTGGACATTTCTTTGTTTTCTTGTAGATAACAAAACTGTGAAGATACTCACTTTTCTTGCACTGTGAATACTCTTTTTAAGCTAGATTTTTGTTTTGTTGATGGTTTCCTCGACTGTTCCTCCCTTTTGCCATGAATAAAACCCATAAATGCCTCTAAAACTGTTTTCACAAAGAGGGCAATTAACCTTGTGTGGACCTGGCTTAGTCCACACAAGGTTTGCACAACTTGCATTATGTGGACCTCTTTTAAATTTGTTTGTGAGCCACACTATTGGTATGTGAGGTTGGTACATCTTCAACTTCTCTTCTTTACCTGCAGCCTGTTGCATACACCGACAGCACCGATTCAGTCTCTGTTGCCTGGGAGGATTACAGGGATGATGAGAGTGGAATCAAATCCTTCAACCTCCGCCTGATGCAGGCTGCATCGTGTGACATCGGCGATGACAACAACCTGACTCCGCTACCCAACCAACACTGGCTGGTACTCGGCCCAGACACCAGAGATTTTACATTTGTGGCCCTAAGCCTTGTGGTAAGTCTGTTTCGCGTTTATCTCCTGACACACCAAGCCATTGATAATTGACAAACTGAATTTTCTCAAGTTCGCAAACCAAGGCTTCAGAGTGACTTTTATTGTCTCATTAGATAAAAGTAGAACTGTTCTTGAGTTACTCATTGCCCTCACTAATTTAGTCATAATGCCTGTCATTCCCTTGGCTTATTCACATGTTTGCCTGACAGGTTTTTGCTCCGTCACTATGTGCCTGACCGTTGTTATTTACCATTTTCTCACAATGCAGACAAACCAGCCCTACTTTGTTCAAATGTCGGCTGTTAACCACGCTGGAGGCAGTATCCAGTCCCAATTCGGACCCATCTTTGTCGACTCTTCAGAACCGACAGCTGGAATGGTGGTTGATGGAATGGATTTCATGATGGACGTAGTAAACAGCAAGGATCGAAATCAAGTTTCTGGTAAAGTGACATTGCTAGGTAGTTCATTCACTGCTTTGACAATAGGTTTCATGATAAAGCAGTACCTAATGCTGTTAACCCTGAAGCTCTCATTGGCTGATTTGGTTTGCTGTATGCAGGAACAATCCTTCATTTGCCCAACCCAGTGGGTCCATCTTGTCCAATGAAGGACATTCCCTTCACCGATCCACATTGGTCAGCGATGGATTTCAAAGGACTGTGGAATATGAAAAGAGACAAGTGGAACTTGGAATACAAAATGCAGCAGGTAGGCTGGCCAGTGTAGTGTTTAATGAAAATTGCCTGAGATTATAAAATAAATCAGTTTTATATCCACAGAAAATCCTCTTGGGTAAATTTTAAAGAATGTTTTAAGGTTTTTGTTGTCCTCATTGCTTGGATTGTCTAGGTATCTGCATCCAATGAGAGTTTGACACTTAAGATGGAGCGGGACACAAGAGGGCCTCGCATGCTCTCTGGGGCCTATGTCACCAATGCACAGATTGTCAGGAGCTCTGAGTATGAGGTTAGTAGAGACTGCTTAAAGAAGCACAAGGGAGAACACTTTTTGTTATGTGTAGCATATTTGATCACTCCCCAGCACTTACTTGTGCACATGCAATTGCATTTGATTTGATACTCATATAACTTCCGACTGAGCCAGTCATTGGGAAGGCATCCAACAGTACAATGTGAAAATATTGCAGCCTATTTGTAATCAGGAATTCTGCTACAAATGATTGAGGGTGCTTTTGCATACTTTACTAAAGCATTGGAGAAAATAGAGTAAAAAACACTGACCCAAAAATTTAATTGGCTGTCAAAAAATGGAAGGTGCAGAAATCCATTGTTTCCAACTCCAGATATGCAGCATTAAATTTATGCCATGCAAAAGTATATGTGAGGATGAAAAAACGCTGGCACAAGCATGGAGTTTTGGATGAAGATGGGGTTCATTTTGCTACCGGACAAAGCACACAGCCAGAATGCGATAGGTGTGTGATGTAATGGCCTGTCCAAATATAGTCATATTCCCGACTTATCTGAAAAGAAATAAATTAAAGTTAACTCCATTGTAAGTAGTTTAAGACAATTGTTGCAAGTAACTGCAAATGGCCTGAAGTAAACATCCAGTAAATTCTGTGAGAGAAAGTCCAGAAATGCACGTGTTTGCTTGTTTATTGCTTTTGATATTGACTTACTAGCCCTGCTCTTGAGGTACATATAGTGTATATCTCACTATACCTATGACAAAAGCACAGGTCAACATGAGGGATATAATCAATCACACTGTTATCGATGTCCCAATGGGCTTGTGTCAAGCATATATGGCTATTTAGCATTTGCCTCAAGAGCCAATTAAAGTTACTGTAACTTCATTTCAATATCAAAAGAAGGTTGTTTATGCATTATTGATTAATATTTACCCAGAACCATACTGTCCAGAATGAAATTTGGCAAAGACCATAACTGGGAGGTGTTTAAGTAAACATTGCAGTAACGTCACGATGACGCCAACAGCTAAATATTTACAAATTGTTAAACTTTTGTTATTTTTTCATTCTTAACGACCTCTTTCCAGAACAAATCAAGGTATTTTTTTAATTTTCACTACCTTTGTTTGACAACATAGACGTGTAATCTCTTTAAAAAATTATGTGACATCATGATGACATCATCACAATTGCGATTTGTGATAAACATATACAAGGGAACATCCAATTGTCTTGAAACTTAATGGGATGATAAAATATTTCTTCCTTGTGACAAAGCTGAAGAGACTTCATGATGACATCATCCTTTGATTCTGTATTGATTTTGAATATTTGCATATAAAGTCATGCATATTTTTTCTTCTATTTACAATTTAGTAGTACATATATTTCTACTCAAATCAACTTGATGCTTCCGAGATATAAAATTCTTAGGGAGGACTCAAAGACAAGTTGCCGTCATGAAGCGTCACATGGCATCACCTTTAGAAACATGCATATATTTCACTGACGAATATCTACCGAACTACACTTTGGATGAAATTAAGATTGGAGGGATTACAGACAGGAACGTGTAGTTATTTGAAAATAACTACTGGTGCATGTATGCTGCTATGATGATGTGTTTATTTTCCATGTGACTTGAAAATGAAGGTGTAGTCTTCACATGGCCATAAAGCACCATCGTCCAATTACAGTTAGCTTGAATGTCACCATACTTATGCACAAATGTGTTATAGGTAAAAATTGTTGTGACGTCATGTTGATTCATTCATGTATCAATCATGTGACACTACCTTAAAGGTACACTCTTCACGGGCTAAGAAACAACACTTGTGATTAATAAGTCAATGTTGGTGTGCATTTTGCCAGGGAAGTGGAACTGTTAAATAAATGATTATGGTGCCATGATGACGTCGCAACCCTGAAATGTCTGTTGCATTTCGATGGACCACTTTAACTTCATGTTCTCTGTACACATGAGCCCAGAAACAAATGTTAAAGGTCAAAATAGCTCTGCATTTGTATTTCATTCCTTTTTTTCACAATAGTCTCCACTTTCATTTTCCTTTTTATATATTTTTCTTATTTTTGTACATTTCGATTATACTCCTGCTGCCAAAGACTACATGTACCTTAAGATTTCTTTGTTAATACCAGCTTTTTACTCACCTACCAGTTTGATCTGAAGGCAGCACCGCCTGACCTGCACAGCGTGACTAGCATTCTATTCTGGGATGGCCCGGATGGAACCATTGGGGATTTTGACTTTGGTGGACGGGAAAACTGGCAAGAAGGAATCTGTCAGTGCTGCTATCAACAACCCTTCAATCAAGTAAGTCTGGAAACTTTGATGTGGCATGTATCAAGTTGTGTCAAAACGAATACTAGGGATTTTCCTATATTGAGCTGCAACATTGGCCTCTATGGTAATCTGTTCGTGGCACTTTGGAAATCGCTCCCATACTACATGCATCTTGGATTGTAAGGCTAACTTCACCCTTACAAAGATGTCTTGGCCATGCCTAGTATTGAGTACCCATACCAGACCTCTGATTATGGGTACCCAGTTCCATTTTGTCAATGTTATTACCCACAAGTGGCCCTGTAAATGTTGACACAATATTTTAAAAACACAAGCACCCTTTTCCTTTGCTTACTTGCCAATAAATTGTCGGAAAAAAATTGAGTGAAATATTTTTAGAGTCCATTTAACCATTTTACCAACACTACATGCTTCACATGCAATTCACCGTAGGCTGGCCATCTTTGCCTAGCACACTTTGGTCTGGGAATACTTGTATGCACATTGCATATTACCAAACGAACCCATAACGACAACAAATCCTGGCTTTCAAACTAGTGTAGCTGCAATCAGGAAATCCATTGTAGCCCGCTCACAGGCAGTCCAATCACTGACTCTGTGGCAGCCACATGACCATAGAAGGAAAAGTCATGTAACTGCACAACTAGGAAAGCCCAAGTGAAAACATGCCCCGACTACTTGATGCATATTGCACTGTCACAATGATAGATTGAACAACATGAAAGTTTTTCCCCACAAAAACACAGCTTTTAAGTTATTTATTTTATTGCTTGTTTATCAATAGAAAAGAAACTTTTAGGTAACAAAATCTAAGAAAAGCAGCTGTTTGTGAGCAACATGCCTAGTGAGTTGATTTCAATTATGGCCAGGTTTGACTTCATGACCCGGAAACTTTCACTAGCTGAAACTTTGGATAACTTGATTTTTAAGCAGTTCCCTAAGGTTTGAATGTACTGAACTAATGTGTTTTGCTGTTATTTTAGTAATAATTACAGGTACCTAGGTACCCAGGTACCCATCCATTACAGGTATCAAGCACCCGGTTCTCATATTACCAGTAAATGCACACCACTAGCCAGTACCCATATTCTCGTGCAGAAAGGAAGGAGAAAAAAAAGGGGTACAGTGGCTTGCCAAGGGCTCAAACATCAGGCTAGCAATACGATTTGAACCCCTGACCCTTTGGTCATGAATGACGAACCTTAACCACTTGCTAACGGGGAACCCTGTTTCGAGCACCATGGGGTTATACGCAGAGCCGGGGACAAAAGAAATGGTCCGTGTAACAAAAGACAGTACTCAGAACAAAAGACCTGCTGCTGGGAATTGCCATCATTTGTTTGGCGTGCATTTTTCGAAGGTAATCCATCACTGTTTTTAAATAGTGTACCACTGTTTTGGGCATTGGGGGGCCTGCGGATTAGCACCACGGACAAAAGTGCTACAGGGCCCCATTGATGAGCAACACAGCGCTGCTGCATTCTAATCCAGCCGCATTTGAAAAGATGCCACTCGCATTCACTATGGACAAAGGAAATTACGCAACACCTCACAATTCTGGGCTATCTTTACAGGGCGGCAGGCCTGGCTCAAATACTCAAGAGTCAGTGAAGGTAGCCTGTCAGCTTAGAGTAGCCACCAAACAGTCGTTCGTGTGGGTGTAAATGTCCTTTAAATGAAATGATGAATATTTGAAGAATTTTGAAAACAGAAAATCTTGAAAATGGCCCGTATGTGTGCACTGCATTGTTTAAAGCATCTGGCAGCAAGTGATTAACAACTATCCCACACTCTCTTCCCCTTCTCCCTACCCTCCCCCATAAGGTATACTGACTGATGTATGTGAGCTGACACGGTTGCTAAGTGTTGTTGCTTCCAGGCAGCGCTAACAGCGGGTCACCAAGTCCAAAGTGACTTTGGATATGTGAACATAGTCGTTTGGACCTGAAATATGCAATTTAATGGTCTTATGTATCCCATTTTTCCAGTCTTTACGTCATGAAAACACAATATCTCTCTTTCATCACAGTCCATGTGCCCTCAATGTGATTGTCAGGACTTCTTAGGAATACTTGATTCATCTGAAGACAACTCAATGTATGCAAGTACCACCAACATGCCACCTGTGACCACAGCTAGTGAGTTCGCATCCAGTGGCATACATGAACAGCCTGAAGTGACTATTAGTGCCTCACTGACCACTTTGACCTCCAGACCATGGGCCATCCATAGAAAAAAGGACGGCAGGGACAGGATATCCAACAATGACAATGCTGGATGGATTTCACAGAGAGCGTGCGGCTTCCAACTTTATCCAAGTAAGATGGACCTCTTGTGAAAATGTGATGGAGGAAACAACTCTGTTTTTTTTTAATTTATCAATTTCTAATCTGCATGGTGGCTGTGATAATCCTATCACTGTTCGTTTACAGTGGCCCCCACCAATGGTGGTAAGCATTGTGATAAACATTTTACAGAGCCACTGTTCCCTGGGAGTTTCTTGACAACTGCTCCGTAGAAAAGCCAATATTTTGGTTTTCTAAGGAGCAACTGTCAACACTATATTTTCTGCCATGAAAGGGGGCCATCAGGAGTGCCTAGTGAAATGTCCTTGGATTTAGTCCATAGGTGTTTTTCTTTGAAGATGGAATTTGCTTTGTTTCATGTTTATTGTACTATTGAGTACCTGAATTTAGTGAGCTGTATCATGGATACCAGCAATTGTGTGTGCTAGGTACTTCCTGGTCCTTTTACCTCAAGTTTCAGTATAAACTTGCAAAGAGAATTTCTCCATGTTATCAGGAGTTTACACGAGCCATACAGTCTTCCTCTTTTTATTGCTATTTTACCTTCCTTGTTAACTGCTTCGGATGACGGTAAGAGCCGCCATAAAAATTGAGATCCTCAGCCCGCTTTTCAGCTATTATTCTCCGCCCACACTCGAGCAAACACGGTGAAAGAAGGCAGACCCTGGCTCTTGTATAGATGGTGATTGGCCTTCGTGTGTTGTCAAGAAATGAAAAGGCCGAATTTGCATCATAATCACCAGCTTCACAATAGTCCCCACTTTGAAAGAGGTAACGGGAATGTGGAAGCTCGAGTAGAGCCACAAACAATGAACAATGAGCCTTTTTACTGTGTAATTCAAAGCGGGCAGAGCACGGAGGGCCACAAACCGGGAATTTGCGGTTTGGCAGGTGGCCTTCGTGGCCAAGCGAGGCTGGAATTCTCGGAGTCAGCTTTCAGAAAAAAGTTCCTGTCATCAAGGGGTTAAGAATAACTTCATATGACACGGACTGATGCAAAAGCATTAAGTCAGTCCATGAATTCCCTTTCTAGATGGCAGTGCATCTCAAGCTGTGCTGTGGTGCCGTTACTTCGAGGATGGTCAGCGAATGTCCTCTCAGCTTGTAGATCTAGACTTTGATCCGTCAGTAGAGGAGCGTCATTACACAGTCAACTTGAGAGTCACACCATTTGATGCACATGAGGTATACCAGGGCAAGCATAATAATCAAATCCCAGATATCCGTGGCACCTGACTCTGGCCACAGCAAATACTGCTCCATGGGTGCATCCTGGAGTGTTCTAGGTTGGGAGAAGAAATACAAACATGCTGTACAAATGACTCAGAGTCAATTTTAGTGGCATTTGGCTTTATGTAAAAGGTTGGCTTCAGTAGCTTGCCTTTTTCAAAAGTCAACATTTTCAGACCCAAAAAAGTAGGCCTTCTGTTTGCAAGTGGTTAATGTCAGTTTATGGTTTGAGTGTTTGCAGCTGATAAGTGCCAGTACCATTGCCCTGCTGTAATTCCTGATTAGTGGTTACTCTTCATCTTGTCCAGTTTTCAATGCGGCAGACATTTACACATGTATGATCCAGACATTTACGGTGTTTAAATTCTCCTTTTCGCAGTTCTTTACCTATTTTTCACCGATAGTGTTTTTAGTTTAGTTTTTCTAACATTTTTTGTTATAGGATGAATGGTCCTTTGAAGTCCTCATTGATGGTAAGCTGCTGGCCTCACTGACTGGCATACCAGTCATGTCCTCATCTACCAAGCTCATTCTGCATGTCTTCAATCGAGACAGCTACATTGCTGATCTGCAAGACCCATTCAATCCTCCAGTTGTCACAGCAACACTCAGGAACTTCAAGTTCGTAAAACCTCCGTGTTTTTTTCACATTTTGTTGCCATATCAAGGGTGCCTTTCTTTTCGAATTGAATACCAAATTGAAAGAAGGGTCCAACTCCGCCTAAATCTTTTTTCAGTTCAAAAGAAAAAAAAATAGACAATTTCTGAAGGGGTTGCAAGGGAAATCAATTAACTTTTCTTAACAAAAATGCTGGAGTTGGGCCTTTCTTTTAATGAGGTATTCAGTTGCTTTTGGCAATATTTCTTGCTTCATTTGCTATGCACAGCATAGTATACCTTACCATTTATTGAAAGGCTCCTACCCTTTCTTCTGATTCAGGATGCCACCTGAGCAGAGTAAGCTGTGTCGTTATGGGGCACCATTCAGGGCTGGTACCAATCCTGTCTCCCGTTACTTTGCCGGTGTTGGCTCAGAAGCAGGAGCTACTGATATCGTACCTTTCAAGGAGGTAACATGGATTTTTAACTAACCATAGTGATACCAAACTTGACCACTTGAACTATGTTTGGCTGCCTTTTTGAAAACTGTATAAATGGACTTAAGCCTTAAGCAGAGATGTCACTATATACCATAATGTACCTTATACTTTTGAAATCACTTCACACCATTTTCATTTTCTCCGCTCAGGCTAAAATGCTAGTAAATTTCTGTGTCGCCCACTCCCACATTTTAAGCATCAGTCATTGGTCAATGTAAAAGGAATTTCTCAACACTCTAAATTTCCTCATCTGTTTTGGAATCCCTTATTCAGAGACACGATGTATTTCAAATTGGTATGAGCAGAGTTGGTATGGTTCAAGCTTATGAAGGCTGTTTAGTTATCACTCACATATCGAAACATATTTTGCGACATGTAGCATCAGATTCTCACAGGCTGTTCCCAGTGAAACCAATTCTATTCAAACTCACATTTATTTCCAGACCAGAATGAGAAATACTAGCATAGAATACATGAATAAGTAGGTAAATCAGTTGATAGAATAGTCAAAAAGGTGTAAAGGATGAAAATGTAAATGATCTGGAGGCATCTCCCAGAAGCCTGGGCTTGTGGCAATATGCCTTAGATGGACTAACACAAAACAGGAACAAGAACAGCACAAGAATGATTGGACCAGGAAAGAACCCAAGCATCAAAAATGCACTGATAAACTAGAACAGCACTTATATGTGTTATGAAAGAACAGGAACAACTT